TGAAGCCAGCGATATGCCAAATTACAAACATGAAATATCACGGCAATTATTGAGAATAATTGATGACTTAAGTGGTTTTTTCGGTTCCGTTCTTAAATACTTGTACACAAACATAAGAAGTCTGGTGCTGTACGTACCAGCCCACAACGTACTTACGCTTGCTGTGCACTTTCTAAAGCATGAAGTTATTTTTTTCCCTAGTTCTCTGACATGACATTATGCCAGTTACAGCAGAGAAATCCAACACCCAAATGAAAAAGGAGCACACACAAACGATTTGGAAAACAATAAAGGAAGGCTCTAATCATTGCTAAATCTGTTCCACGCATTGACCATGTTTCCCCCTCCTGCACCGTCCTGGGACTATGGACGCAGGCATCCCATCTTACCAGTCTTGGTGGATGAATTTGATGCTGCCAGTGCAGATGCAGGGATGGAAGAGGGGCCGCTCGGGACTTCCCTCTGACCTGCACACCCGGCATATATCACCTACGTTTTGCACAAAACAAGGCAACAAAATAATGCAACAATAAAAAAACCTTTTGGCAAATAGGCCTAATGACTTATTTAGTCATTTCAAGTACATGTATCAAGAAGTTCAAAACTTTATAATACAAATACACAACACTTGTGATTGTTTTCTTGTAAAAAACCAAACATAATACAACACAGTTGCTGTTGACTACACAATTAAGGAAACCACAACTTCGAGTCTTCTCACTTCAATTTACAGGCTGAATTCCAAACAACCACAAATTGCAGCAAAATGCATTATTTCATTGTTGGTTATGCTTTATCTTCAAACATTGCCTTTTCAAGTCAGAAAAAATGTTTTGTTATTCTTAAGTTATTTTTAATCAAGTTAACCAGAGCCATCAAGCTGGAACAAATAACTATTGCACTCTACTGTTGTGAAGTACCCTAAATTCATGCATAGAAATGTTTGCACATCCAACATTCTCGGCGCGTATCTCTATGCAGGAAATATGCAGTCATCTTAATTTACCTTAGATGATCATTGGTCACTAGGTCTTGTCTCTTTTTTTTTCAAATTAATTAAAAGCATTCCACAAAGTATTTTGAAAACACTTTAGCACAGTGGAACATTTTACTGTAAACAGTAGAGGCGCACATCACAACTTGGAGACTGTCCTTGTGTTTGGAGAAGTCCTTTCATTTAAGGACAAAATTTTCCCTGAAAGAAAGAATGTCCCTCTAAATGGGGACCACTTTTTTTCAAGTGGGCATGGGGATCCCATCATTGCTCTGGGGATCCTTTTAAAATTGGATTCAGCAGAAGAAAATACCCAAGCCTGCCATTTAAAAAAAATTCTGTTGTTTACTTCTAGGATTACAAGCGGGAGTCTGCAATGGCACATAAAGGGTGGGAAAAAGACTGCATCATAGCAATTTTTCTAAAAATCATTTCTTTATGATATAGTTAATCAAGTGACATGGCACAAAGTTCTTAAAAACAACTGAAATAACTAAATATGAGTAGAAAATGTGGCAGTAAAAATCGATAATAGCATGTGGATATTTTTTACCTAAGCTCTCTTGAGAAAAAAAGTCTCGCTTTTAAGGAGACATTCTCTCTTTCAGGGCACATGTTTTGTCCCCCCAAAAAGGGACTTCTCCAAATATAGAGACAGTCCCCGAGTTGTGATGTGTGCCTCAACTTCTCCATAGGCAAATGCAAATTATGGTAACTCTTAGATACAATGCTAATATTACTAGACTACCTTTTACCTAGCGCTACTGAGTGGAGCGTCAGTATTCCTCTTTTTCGAATTTTGTACTGGATCGGTCATACTAACGCTCCCCGACATTACATATACCGGTGGTAAAGTGACAATGGTTCTCAAAAATTCCCAAAACTCACCAAAAAAAAAGTTTTCACCACGTGCTGGCTTTCTTAAACAGTTGTTGGTAGCACTCCCAAATGTTATGGTTAACACGTCTTATGCTCCGACTACATATGGGCCACTCCTGCATGTTTCATTAGAAGACTATGTTCCTCCATAGAGTTATTGCGCCAATAAAATCTAGGCATTCATATTTGAATGGGAGGAGGCGTCGCTTTACTGTATGTAATATATGTAATGTTGTGGAGCATTAGTATGACCGACCTATTACAAAATTTGAAAAAGAGGAATACTAACACTCCACTCAGTAGAGCTACCTTTTACCAGGGTGTCAGTCACTTCCCCCATGCCATTTCGCCCCTAGCCACTTCGCCCCTTCCCCAACTGGCCCCATTTCCACTTCACCCATTTCCACTTTGCCCCACCGATTATCGTTCGATCTGTTCTTTAGTAACAGAGGCATAAGCTTAGATGCAACAAATAAAAACATCGACTTTTGAGTACCCAAATAATGGTCGGAAAATCAAACTTGCAAAGGCCAAAACAATGCTTTCGATTTCCCAACCGACCCAAATTTTTCAGTGAGACCCTCACATTTTTATTAAAAAGTAAAAAAATACAAATGTAATAAATACAAGAAAGACAAATAAATTAATCCTGTTGTCTTTTCTGTCTTCACAAACACCTCAGAACGACATTTTCCCCACTATAAAGCTTGTGTTTACATGTTTTCCCAGTTACATTTGCAACATTTGAAATGCGACTTTTGCTAATTTCACGAGTTCTCTTCATGGTTCACTGTCGCTGTGGTAAAAACATGTGCCCAAAGCGCTGGTTCCCACCACGCCGCACCCATGCAAGAGAATGGGTGATGGAGTGTGGCAACCAGTCTATTCATGCAACCATACATGTACGTGACCTCACTTATCGAAAAAAAAAAATCAAAGTCGCAAGATTTCTTCAAGTTAATTCACAGAACTTAGTATCTTGTCTATGTGGTATTTTCTGTGTTCATCAGTTTAATTTTAGGTTGTTTTACTTGTACTTGAATCAAGCTTGTTTCCACAAAATGTCCTGCCGCTGCGCATCAAGATTTATCCGATCACTGGGGCACAGCTGTCTGGAAATGCTGGATGCATTGACAATTACCAGAATGATGTGTACAGAAATTTGATATAAACTTGAAGAGGATGAGAAATAAACCCTATGCTAGTTCAACCATTACGTATTAATTCACAATGAACAATGCAGTCGACATTAATTAAGTGAATGCCATAGAGTTTTCTATAATACATGTAATGTACAACTCTCTATGTCATTTGAACTCCTCTCTCAACCATTTTTGAAGCTTGGAACACACTCGAGCACAAACAGGGCAAAGTGCAAATGGGGCGATGTGGCAATGAGGAGATTACCACTTCATACCATGACCAATGCCTGTAGGCTGTTCGCGTACGCTCATAGTGAGAAACTACACTGATGCATTGGAGAGTGGCGCAGATGTGGATACACTTTCCACACAAACTGGCCAGGCCCTAGGCCTGATGATTGTTTACCAAACGTGGCAATGATGCGAAAAACTACCCCCTTGTGAGCTGTATGCCAATTTTCTTTACCATTTATGGGGACAGAGACACAATTGAAAGGCAAAGACATGAAAGAGGGACATTACCTTCGCTGCTTTCCTCCATTTTCGTCACGCCAATACTTTTATGTGAACATAATGTAATGTGCGCAAACAGGCAAAACGACCGCGCTGGTACCCATCACGTAAATATGCTGAAACGAACGAAAGCGATTGTCGACCAGTCGACTTTGGCAAATCAATGATGTGCGCCCTCAAGAGTTTGTTCATCAGCCAACCAAGGTTTCTTTCACTGGTTTGGTAAACAACAACGATTTGGACAGGAAAATGTAGGTGCGCGATCAAAATGACCGAGGTGGCAAGCATAGATTTCGATCCATTGGCGTTGGAGGTTACAAATGAACTGAATAGTCTATCAAGGAGCAAAACAGGCACGTGGGAACATGAGGATTTAGCTCAGGTACGACCATCATTGACATGACAACCCTGACAACGTACACCTAACCTAGGTGGACTTGTTAACGTTACTTCCCAACAATGGGTATGGCATCAGTCCCAACTAGAGTGTTGCAGTTGGGTCGGCCCAACTACAGCAGAGAGGTCCTGTGTGCATGATGTGCCCAGCGTGTGCCAAAGTCATATTGTTTACAAATTTTATGTCACTGGTCATAGGGCTAGTTGAACAGATGAAGTACCACATTTTAGATGAATTGTGTCAAGTGTGAGACACATTGACTTGGATAATGTTGAGACATTTCCCACAGACATTGGTCAACAATTGTTGGGCCAGCACAACTGCAGCACTACAGTTGGGACTTATGCTATAGTTTGGGCGTAACAGACTCCCTGACCTAGTACTAGTAACTGCTAGTACTATGTTACTATGAAATGAAGACAACGTCCAACCTGGGCTAGGCCTGTCTACTCACCATGATTCACAACACTGTGGTTGTGCTAGCGTAGTCCGAGTAACTTCAACTTGGACCCTACAAATCACCTTTTTTAACATTTGGACATGGTCAGGTTAAGAAGGGTTCAAGTTCCTTCCATAGCATAGGCTTTTGCTTCCATTAGTTCATTTCACTTAAAATAGTTTGTACCCCAAATCAAAATCCTCGAAATTCACCTCCAAAATGGTCCTTAAACTATGGGGGTTTTCCTCCATCCATGCTTAAACTGTATAAGGCACGACTGATTCCTGAGCATCGCAGTGTCCAGTGTACAGTTTAGGTGTTATCAGAGCTACTGGACATATGGCACTCAGGAATTTGTCATTGGCATGCGTGTGCAAACACAGCATGCTTTGTGTAAATGGTCTGCTGGAGGCCAGTGCGCCGTGGTGTCGTCTCCAGGACATTAACATACAGTTTGAAATGCTGTTTCAAACAAGACGGCGACATCATGCTCAACGACAAGACCATTTCCAATTTGAAGGGGAAATTCCTTTTTTCTTCCCAAATGTGAGTAACCCTTATTGTCATTGGAATCTCTGATTCTCACTTGATCCTATTTTGGAGGTGAATTCAGAGGATTTTGATTCGGGGTGTAAGCTATTTTGAGTGAAATGAATTAATGGAAGCAAAAGCCTATAGAAGGTACTTAGACCCTACTAATATCGCCCGACCATGTCCAAATGTTTAAAAAAGGTGATTTGTAGGGTCCAGTTTATTCGAACTATGCAATGCCGGTGCCAGCCCTCAGTCTATTTTTTGTCATTTAAATTTAGTTACAATGAATACACAAACGTTTTACCTGAGCCTATCCTAGCTAGTGATACAAAGCGCTTGCCCTCCAACTCCGCCTTGATGCATAACCTCAGTTTCACTCAATTTAAACTTGGAGTTGTACATTAATCACTGGGCGTTGTTCATCCATCATGCAGTTTTCAGGTTGTGTAAAACTTCACACCATTCCTACTAAAACAGCCCATAGAGCGATCACCAACTTAGCCCACTGCACTGCACAAAAATGTGCAGGTGTGGTATTTGAATTAGATTTCAGTTGTTAGCACAGCAATCATTTGACCGTGCAGATGCACCAAATACTCCAAACATAGGACCGTATGAAACTGTACTTTATTCAACAACAGAAGAGAGTGATAGGCCTACGTCCTCGTGTGCTTAGAAGCATCAAACATAACCCTGAACAGGTTGAATGTCAATTTTCCCCAAATGATATGCCTATTAGCTGAAGTATTGGAGGCAATGTGGTTCCTGCAGTCCTTCCAGTGGCAATTAAAACAGTGTCTGATTGCTTTGCTGCACCTTGAGGTGTGCTTCTGTTCTCGTATTCATTTCTAGGTTTGATCTGTCATCTAGCTTCTCCCTGATCCCTGTCAAGGCATTGACCTTCTTAAACTTCGTTTTTGTTCTCTCGTGCCTGGCTTTCTAGGTGAGGTACAAAGTCCTGCGAGGCCACAAAGATAGCATCAACTCCTGCCAGTTCTGTGTTGACGACACCCGCATCCTGACAGCATCCGAGGACAAAACCTGCTCCCTCTGGGTAAACGGACACCAGTTCTGACAACTGACATCATTTTTCAGTGCTGCTGAAAGACTTGAGGGTTTTAGGAGTTATTAGGGGTTATTGGGGGTTGTTAGGAGTTATTTGGGTTTATGAGGGGTTATCAGGGGTTATTAGGGGTTATTAGGGTTTATGAGGGGTTATTGGTGGTTATTAGGGGTTATTGGGGGTTATTGGGAGAGATGACGATGTTTACATTATTGTGACACTCCCCACCGACAATCCCCACCACCAACAGCAGCTTCATAGTTAAGTCTGGGCATGGACGAGTTGAAAAAACTTCACTTCCGCATTTTGCTAGGATGAAGGGTAATTGGGTACCCAGTTCCCAAACTACCCGTAAATGCACATTACTATAAAAGGGGTATAGGTATCTTTTTCTAGGTTTTCTCCTTTTCTTCTCTCAAGGATAATTAAAATTAAGTTGGACAGATTGAAACATTATTTGATCACAGAATGTTGAGACAGGGGACCGGGAAAAGAAATATGATGGCCATCCGTCGTGCATCAGCCAGTGTCACATGAGCCACGACAACTCCAAATTTGTGACCTCATGCTGGGACAAGAGGATCAGAGTCCGGGACGTGGAGACAGGGGAGGTTTTGGTGAGCGTGGGGAAAGTGATGAGGGGGACTGTTTTGCTTGCGTATAGGGGCCGAGGCAGGACACTTTAGGGAATGTTATATGACCCTGGTTCCCAGGTGTACATTGTGGCACACATGGCTTACCGGTGGCCAGTGATGTAATCAAACCTTAGAGGCTGATCCCAGGAGTTGATGAGACTCCTCCAACCTCATCGTTGGACTGATATGATCAACCACACGCTTACTTCTCAATCAGACTTTTTCCTCTTGATCGAAGTCAAACCCAGTGCATGAATCAACTGGGTGACATCGACCACTTTCCGGTCCAGACCACCACAGGCAGCGTACACCTCTCGCCAGTAAAAAGGTTAACAATTGAGGGAATGTAGTTGAAGCGTGGCTGCTTGGCAGGAATACAGCACGAAAACAAATAGCAAAACCAAGCAACAAGACAGAATGAAATTTAACTAACAACCCAAGGCAACCCACTTCACAGGCTGACTTGCCCTGCGATTGACCTAACCTGCAACTGCATGACCACCATGTGGCCATCCTCTGCGCATTTATCACTTTCACGAAATCAGTCCACAATGCATTTCATTCTTCCTAAGCGTACATACATCTCTATTCTTTTCACAGTGGACTGGGCTGCAAGGTGGCATAGGAACCTGTTGCCAGTTCTCTCACAACGGGAAATACATTGCCTCAGGGACAGATCTGGATAACTGCTTGAATATATGGGATACACAAAACGGGACCCTACTCCAATCAGTGAAAAGTAACTTGGATTTGAGATTTAGTGACAAAATAAGTTTTATTTCGATATAAATTTAGTGCCAAGATTGGTCAACTAATTAATAAAACTGAAAATTGTTGTTATTATTATTACATGTATTTCAAAGACATATAAACCTACTTGCCTGGAACCTGAGGTTTATAAAGGGCATCAAGTCCCGTCTAATTTAAAAGTTGGTGACTGTGCTTTCCTTAGTCCTACAAAATTCTCAAACCTTCTTTGGAATATTGTTAATTTTGAGAGGGTAAGTGTTAAGAAATCACCGAGTTTCAGGTCCCAGTCAAATCAAATCCTTTTAAAAAATGGTCAACTTTGGAAATTTAAAACTGGTCTAATGGGCAATTTGTTTTTCTCAATAATATCATATGTGGAGGCTTTTAATTGGTTTTGTTTCAAAGACAGAATGGGAATAGGTGACAGGGATCAATCTTACCTCAACTTGGAGATCTCTCCCTGTAATTCCTTCAACTTTTATATAAGCCCCCAAAAACACCTAAAGCATGCCTACAGTAACTGTAGCCAAAGCCTTTAGTGATCACTCCCATCCCCAGTTAATTTTCAGCTCCCATCCCATTTGCCCTCATCCTCCGCCATCAGCACCACCACCCCCGGGGATTCCCCTCAGCTCTGTCTTGATCAGCCGTCCTTCTCCCTCTTGGCTTGCAGAGCACCACGGCAGCAGCATCACCAGCTGCAAGTTCTCGCCGGACGACTCTAGGGTCTGCACCACCTCCACCGACAAGATCACCAATCTGTGGGACCTGGCCTCCCAGAATGTCACCATCAAGCTTGGGTAATACTCACCACCTTGACATCTCCCTCTCACCACTTGCACCTCGTACAGCACAAAATAGGAGCATAGTCAAACTATTAAACCTCATCAGGCCTCATGGACCAAGTAAAAAATCCAGTACAGATTCCTTTGTTGTTCACAGTGGTCACATCAACGTTGTCTCCTGTTGCTGCTTCAACGAGGATGAGCGACGGCTGTGCACTGGCTCCTGGGACAAACAGCTGCAAGTCTGGGATGTGTCCACGGGGATGTACCGGTCTGAGGGTCCGGTGACCTTCAGCAAAGGTCATGAAGGCTCCATCAGCGCCTGCAGATTTAGTAAGGATGGTGAGTAAAAGGAGATTGTTCCAGAGCTACAAGTTGACTTCACATTGTCTTGCATTTTAAATACAGGGAACATAGACTCTTTAGGAGTTTGCAGCAAGCCCTTAATTTTCTAGGATTTTCTGATTGCATAAGCTTTTATTTCAAACAGGTTTTCCCCATTTTTTTAAAATGGTTTGTGAAACGGTTCCTGTTCAGTTGAAACTGGTTTAAATCAGTTTGATTATTTGAACCAAACTCTGCTTGAAATAAAAAATAAAAGCTCCTTGGCTCAAAGAAAGAAAATTTGCAGTAAGAAATCCAATCAATACTGCATTGAATTAATCGCGTCTCTCAAATCTTCAACTCTTTTTTCCAAAGACCAAATTTGTTATCTTTTTTTTTTGGCATAGGAGATGCTCAAGGGGTTGATGTCATAGCTGTAATATGAAATCCCTTCAACCATTTTTGGCACTCACAGCTTAATAAATGTCATTTTTAGTGATGTACTAGCGATTATCACAAGACCAGGCTCCAATTTCATGGAGCTGCTTAACAGAAGAATCGTGCTCACTGTGAAACAGGAAATGTTTGTAACCTTAAGTACTATTTCATGGTGTTGCTTGGCATGGTTTTGCTCATGGTTGTGTGCTCATAGCGATTTGTATTGTTATGACACTAAGCTTAATAGTCAAATTTTTCCTCTGAGTCCTTTCGCTGCACTTACTGCTTTTTCAACAGTCTCCATGAAATACGCGGTGCCTCTGTTAGAATAAAATTGTGTGCTTAGCAGCGCTGTGAAGTTTGGTCCTGATGCAAGACCAGACACAAGACCAGACATAAGACCAGTCACAAGACTAGTCAGAAAGTAACAGGGTGAACAATGACAAAGGAATGCTTTTGTTGCAGTTCATTTGAATAACTTGTGACTTGAATTCAGATTGGAGGCCTTGTGTTGGTCTTGTGATAGTCTTAAGAGATCTTGACTAAGACTTCAACATCGGTCATTTTGAATGAGATATCTATACAAACTTTAAAATCGTGGCACCATAGCACCCTTTAAACTTAGATCATCTTGTTCCCACAGGTAGCATGCTGATATCTGGTTCCTATGACCAGACAGTGGTGGTGTGGGATGCTGAAAATTGTGGACCAAAGTTGACACTCAAGGTGAGGCCCACTCACTGACCTCTGTCTGTAGAATTCTGTGACATCAGATTTCGAGTGGAATTTAAAAGTCCACACTTGCACAAACAATGTTTACATCACAACGTCTTAAATTATTTCGTCTTTGGACAATGAGACAAATGCCATCATTCCAAGCTTGAAATTTGGAATTCAGCTCATCCGTTTATTTATTGTTAGCTCTGAAATATTCTGGAACGAGTTGCTTCAGACTCTACACACAGAAAACAGAAGCGTCAACAGTGTTCGTATTCAGTCTGCACTTTAGACTGCACTGTCAGGAAGGACATTAGCCTATCTGAGATGTGGCGGACACAGCAGGAGAGAGCTATTTGGTTTGAATGAAATCTTCTGTGTTTACTTCAAATTGACTCACTTTAAATAGCCCCCTTCTATTGTGTCGGCCATGCTTTTGAAAGGCCAGTTGGAGCCTCCTGTATAATGTGAACTGTGATTGAATTCTGGCCTTACGCAGCACTGTAGCTAACTAAATACACAGTTGGCTTACGTTAAAAATTCCAGAACAAACTGTGTAACTTGGCAATTTTCCCATTCTGCGTTGCGGTTCAGGGCCACACCGACTGGGTAACCGACGTGGACATCACCCAGGACATGAAGTGGATCCTGTCCAGCTCCCGCGACCGTACAATCCGACTGTGGAACATTGAGAACAGCGACAGCATACCGGTGGTCCTGGAGAACAAAAAGAGCATGGGCTTGAGAATAGTCAAGGTGGGCCTGGGAGTAAGCAGGAAATCAAAACAAAAGGGATCGAGGTCTAAGGCTCTTTGCATTTTGAAAGCACTGCAAATATGAACTCGAAATGAAACGGGGAATAGGAGAAAATCTTTGGCACAAAATGGACACAGCTGGACCAGATTAAGATGCTTTTACTTGGGTGATATTTAGAGGGATCATTTTCTTTTCAGTATTTTAAAATTATATAGACTGTTCTGTGGGTGAGGAAATTAGTATCACATGACATGTACACGTAATGATAATTTTTAGTGCAGGAAGCATTTTTCTCTTTCTAGTTTGTATGCCTTGGGAGAGGGAGTCCTGAAGGATTACCCTTTGTAGGCACATAAAGTGATAAAACAGCGCCCTCCCTTGCTCATGCTCAAATGAAATAAGATGCTCTTCCCACCTGTGGGATTTAAATGATCCAACCAATTAAAGCTGATTTTACCAACTGCACTGAATTTTTGCATTTTTTTTCAACCCTTGTTCGGTTCATCATCTTGTGTTTTTGTCATTTCAGTGTAATGAGTGCGGCAAGCCCTTCTCCATCTCCCAGCTGGACGACCCACAGGAGCTCAAGATGTGTGTCTTCTGCCGTCTGCAGACCAGCCGTCCCCTGCCAAGCCTGGACTATGACGAGGATTTGAACATGCCAGAGTTTTGACATTCTATATTCGTGGGGAAATGACTTCAGTTGGAACAACCGAGCGAGTACTGATGTTTAAATCCAACTTGAAGTTGCCACTGGATTTTCTACTCCTTGGAGGTTTTGACTGATTGCAGTGATTTTGGATGTGAAATAAGCATTTTCACTGCTGTTAAGCATGAGGTGTTGTTTGTCTTGTTGGGTTGGGATTGGGTTGGGTTGAGTTGGGTTTGGATTGGGTTGGGTTGAGTTGGGTTTGGAATGGGTTGGGTTTGGATTGGGGTTGAGTTGGGTTTGGTTTGGATTGGGTCGGGTTGGGTTTG